AATGTCTATATCCCAAAAGTTATCTACTTGTTTAATATCAGATAAAGCTCAAAATTCCAAGGACATTCATTAAAGAGATTGAAAAATCTACTGTGAAATTTATATGGAAACACAAGAGGCCAGAAATTGCCAAGGCAATACTAGTCAAAAGAACAATGCAGGAGGTATCACAATACCTGACTTCAAACTATATTACAAAGCAATAACAATAAAAAGAGTACTGGCACAAAAAACAGACATGAAGACCAGTGGAACAGAATAGAGGATCCAGATATGAAGCCACACACAACTATGAGCAAACTTATCTTTGACAAAGGAGCTAAAAATATACGATGGAGAAATAGCAGCCTCTTCAAAAAACTGCTGGGAAAACTGGTTAGCAGTCTGCAAAAAGAAACTAGATCCATGTATATCACCCTATAGCCAGAGATTAACTCAAAATGGATCAAGGATCTTAATATCAGACCCAAACTCTTAAGTTGATACAAGAAAGAGTAGGAATACTCTGGAGTTAGTAGGTATAGGTAAGAACTTTCTCAATGAAACCCAGCAGCACAGGCAACTAAAGAGATAGCATAGATAAATGGACCTCATAAAACTAAAAGCTTCTGTCATCAAAAGAAATGGTCTCTAAACTGAAGAGAACACCCACAACGAGTGGGAGAAAATATTGCCAATATACATCAGACAAAGGACTGATAACCATAGAATATACAGGGAACTTAAAAAAACTAAATTCTCCCAAAACTAATGAACCAATAAAGAAAATGGGCATGAACTAAACAGAACTTTTCCAAAAGAAAGAAATTCAAATGGCCAGAAAAACACATGAAAAAATGCTCACCACTCTAGCAATAAAGGCAAAATGCAATTAAAACCACGCAAGATTCCACCTCACCCCTGTTAGAATCGCATCATCCAGCAACACCACACAACAGGTGTTGGCGAGGATGGCGGGGAAAAAGGAACCCTCTTACACTGTTGGTGGGAATGTAGACTAGTCAACACTCTGGAAAAAATTTGGAGGCTACTTAAAAAAGCTGGACATCGATCTACCATTGATCCAGCAATACCACTCTTGGGGATATACCCAAAAGACTGTTTCCAGAGGCACCTGCACATCCCATGTTTATTGCGCACTATTCACAATAGCCAAGTTATGGAAACAGCCAAATGCCCCAGCACAGATGAATGGATTAAGAAAATGTGGTATCTATACACAATGGAATTTTATGCAGCCATGAAGAAGAACGAAATGTTATCATTCACTGGTAAATGGATGGAATTGGAGAACATCATTCTGAGTGAGGTTAGCCTGGCCCAAAAGACAAAAATCGTATGTTCCCCTCATATGTGGACATTAGATCAAGGCAAACACAACAAGGGGATTGGACTATGAGCACATGATAAAAGCGAGAGCACACAAGAGGGTGAGGATGGTAAGACACCTAAAAAACTAGCTAGCATTTGTTGCCTTAATGCAGAGAAACTAAAGCAGATACCTTAAAAGCAACTGAGGCCAATAGGAAAAGGGGACCAGGAAACTAGAGAAAGGTGATCAAAAAGAATTAACCTAGAAGGTAAACACGCACAGAAATCAATGTGAGTCAATGCCCTGTATAGCTATCCTTATCTCAACCAGCAAAACCCTTGTTCTTCCTATTATTGCTTATACTCTCTACAACAAAATTAGAGATAAGGGCAAAATAGTTTCTGCTGGGTATTGGGGGGGGCGGGAGGGGGGGAGTGGGTGGTAAGGAGGGGTGGGGGCAGGGGGGAGAAATGAACAAGCCTTGTATGCACATATGTATAATAAAAGAAAAATGAAAAAAAAAAGAAAATGAAACTAGAATAATCCAATTTTTTACACTCATATGGACACCTATTCTTTCGTGTAATGTTTACTATGCATTTCGTACCTTTCTTGCCTTATAAATAAAGCAAGTCTAATCCAAGTTTACACCAATCTGGGTGTAATTATTAACGTCATCTTCTTATACTCTCAGAAGTATCCCAGTTTGAATAAGAAATGATATGACCTCCTTACATATTATAGTGTCTCTGACACAGGTTATCTCCCATCTCCCCATGTTGAAAATATCCATCATTTCCATAACATAAAGAAACATTACAATTTCAATAGAAGTAAAGGAAAGAAGACAGTTAAATGGTATCCTCAGTTTTCTGAAAGAAAATAACAGCCACAGTTACCTAGCAAAAAATCTATTAATAGTGAAAACATTTTTAGGAAAGAAGTAGGAATAAGTATATTTTCAAGAAAAAAATAGAGTGAGAATTCATCACCAGCAAACCCATGGTGTAAGTATTTAAAGGTGTTGTTCAAGCAAAAGGAAAACTAGTAGAATGTCAGAGACACAGAAAGGAATGAGAAACAAAAAAACTAATAATCATGCTAGAATGTAACTTATTTGTTCTGCTATAACAGAGTATCTGAAATTGGGTAATTTATACAGAACAGAAATTTACTTCATTCTGGAGGCTGAGAAATCCAAGATAAAGGTACCAGCCTCTGGCCTGACCTTGCTACATCCTTACATGAGAGAAGATGGAAGGTCTAGAGACATCAAACCGACTACCACAAGCCTTTTTTATAAAAGGCAGCATTAATCTGTTATTTCATGGCCTAAATGACTCCCCCAAGGTCCCACCTCCAAACACTGTTAAATTGAAGATAAATTTTCTAACACATGAATTTGGGGAAACAC